CCCCCCCCCCACACCTGAAGGCCTGACCATGCATCTGACCGCGCAAAATGGCAGTAACACTGCCACAAGTGCGCGGTCGCGCACGGGGCGCGCATATTGTGCACTGTTCTGTAAAATGTATATAACTTTTTGCACAAAGATCCGTTAGGGATCTTTAATATATCGTGGAAAGATATTTTAGAGGGCTACAACTTTCATCTTTTGAGTTTTCCCAAATTCATTATATAATTTCACTAAATCCTGCTAGAATATGGACTATTTGTAAACTTAGTCAATTTTGTCGAATCTTATGCACCTCACACTTCATCTTGATTCTGAAACAACTATTTTCACCCATACTCATCCTACTAGGACTTCATATGTGTATAATATCAGATTAATACCCATTTAACATATCCACACCTAGTTCGAATGTACGGGGTGTTACATTATCTCCCCCTTGGGATCATTCGTCCTTGAATGATTCTCCTGATTATAACTTCTGCTAACTCCGAACCTTAAACGGGTCTGGTGGAAACATGAACTTTCATTAACGCTTGCATATTAAACTGAATGAATACATGACTACTGAACTGTTGAGATAGTGAACCGAATGACTACTGTATTGACAGAATATTGGTCTGCCATGGATACGTAAATACTGAACTAACATAGGTATATGAATATTGAACTGGCACAAATATTTGAGTAATTTGAGTACTAAGTTGGCATGAATGTCTAAGTATTGGACTGATATGAGTAGCTGAGTATTGTACTGACATAAGTATCTGAGTATTGAACTGACATGAGTATCTGAGTACTAGAAACTTGAATGCTATAGCATAATACGTGAAATACTGGTTGTACCATCGCAAATTCTGGTGGCAACTCCAACTCATAAGCTAATTGACTGATCCTTCGCAAGATTCTATATGGCCCAACATAGCAGGGACTATGCTTCCCCTTCTTCCCAAATCTCATAACGCCTTTCATAGGCAAAACTTTTGAAAATACCCAATCATCAACTTGAAACTACAGGTCTCTATGCCGCACGCTCGAATAGGATTTTTGGTGGCTCTGAGCCATCTTCAAACACTCTTGAATCAACTTAACTTTCTCCATAGTTTGATAGACCAATTTTGGTCCCTACAACTCCTCTTTACCAATTTTGGACCAACCAATTGGCGATATACACCTTCGCCCATACAGAGTCTCGCACGTGCCATCTTGATACTAGAATGGTAGGTATTATTATTAGCAAGGTCAATGAGAGGTATGTGATCATCCCAATTACTTTTAACATCAAGGACATATCCTCAACTGTTTGAATAATGCACTCTGCTTGGCCATCTTTCTAAGGATGAAAAACTTGTGCCTAATCCTTTCTGAAAGAACTTCTAAAAGTTCATTTTAAACTGAGCACCACAGTCCGAAATGATGGACAACGGAGTTCCATGCA